TGTTGGAGGGTGGAGACTGTGGTGGAGCTCTGCATTTGTGGGTCACCAGTTTCCAGGGTGCTTCATCTTCAGTGGTGTCTGTACCAGGAACTTGGTTCTGAAGCCACCTGTAACTCAGCCACAGGTCATTCACCTGTGCACACCTTGTGCAGGTATTTACTTTTCCCACAGCAGAAATGTTTGGGCAGTCACTGTAGCCTACTGCCTGTGCTTTTTAAACAATCTGAAATTCCAAAACAGTGAATTAAAATGTACATAGTTTGGCTTTCTCATATTTTAAAATTCTGATTGTTATTTTAGGATAAAATATTTCATACTATATATCACCATTTTTTTAAAAACAAAACTTTCAGAAGACATTTATAAAGTATGTTGAAAGCATTCTCACAATGAAATGACAATGAAATCTGATTCATCAAAAGCATGAGAGTCTTCAGAAATTTCATCCAGAACAGACTTCCGTGGCTCAGGTCTATTCCTGCTCTAGATAACTGCAAAAAGATCAGTGAAATAATTTCTGTAAGAGGGAATGAATGCATACTATTTTCACTTAAAATATGTGACAGATCCACTCATTTGGTTATACAATTAAAGAATTCATCATTTCACATTTAAGAAATTACAGAACTGTGATTATTATGGACCACTACAATTAAAGCCACGTTACCAAAACAAAACAGATATGATTAAAAATTTTGTAAATTCATTCAAGATCCGCCGTTGCTGCAGTCGCAGGAATTGAATCTAATGCTCTAAAATTACTCTTTTTTTCTTACATACTTGACAGGGTATTAGTATGAAAAACTACATCTTCTTGTAAAAGACTGTCCTAAGTATATTTTCACATTCCTGACTATAAAATTAAGTTCTAAATAAATTATGCTTGGGCTGGGTTTTCGTTTTTCTGCCTGATTCTTATAAAGGAATCATGGATGGATAATGTTAGGGAAAAATAACTTTTGAAAATATAGAATAAAACAAAATCAATATAATATAAATAGAATCATAATTATAATGTAATATTACTCTACAAATTTGAAATTCCATGAGAATGAGTTCTTGACAGCTTTAATAGTTTAATCCTTATTCAAGTCTATAAGATCCTCTGGAAAATAATAAAACTAGACTTGCACCACATAGTTGCTGTTTAAATATTTGGATTTATAAATAAACATATATTTTTACACACACACACACACACACACACACATATATATATATAAAGTCTTTGGATTTACCCTTTCAATATGAACAATTTGTAATTTAAGAAAATACTATTTTAAAAAATATTTCTGTAGCTTCATGAAAATCAACATTTTATATTTGTCATCTTTAAAATACAGAATATGTAAACAAGTTTTTGTTCAATAGCCTTGTAAATTGGTGCATTCTCTTGCTTTTTCTAAAAAAGGAGCACTGGTATTAGTTGTATCTGAACTGTTGCATTATTAATAATTTTAACAAATGCATTTACAATTAATCTGTATGGTTCTTAGTATCTTTCTTTGTTCTGGATAATGGTGGGTTTTTACATTGGTGTGAAAATAAATTGAAATTCAATAGTATTTCTAAAGATGACCAGTTAAATTAGAATTGTAATAAGATTTCTGTACATAATGAAAACAATCTAAATTGTGTAATTAAACTGAGTGCTTCTGGTAACAAACTGATAAGTATCTTTAATGATTCTATAAATATAACCTAATCTAACTGACCTTCCCCCTGCACATTTTTTCCATCTCCTGAGAGTTCTTCCATCTTGTGAAGCAGATTCCTTTTCTCTATGTTCTGCTGCCCACGTAACAAGTACAAAGTTTCAAGATACCAGTTAGTCCAACATTTCTACAACTAACAGTGAAATGTAGTACTTTCCTCTGTCCAGTACCAAATACTATTGCAGTATTCTTCTCAATCCTCCAGTTGAACAACACTGAAGACCCCAAAGATCCAAATCATCTTATCAAGATGATTAGACTACACTGAAGGGTCAAAGAATGAGTAAGAGATCTAGAAAACATACTAGTCTTCTAGTTTTGAAGATTGTCTACAATCTTTTTTTTAAAAAAGAAGAAAAGAAAAACTACTTTATCTGAGCATCATCAACCAATCTTGTGCTGTTTAGGATGTTCCAGGTGAGACAGAAAGGCTTGCTGGGATTTGTGGGAGGTGACTGAATTCAAGTTATGGTTTAGAGGAATTTACTGCCTATCTTCCTCCCTTGCAATGCTGACTTTTACTACCAACCTTACGGAAATACATTTTAACAGCACTTTTTCTACCTTTTAACTGCCTCCATGCCCTACTCGTACTGCCATTTTATTACCCCCATCTATCCAAATAATGCTATCAGCGACTACAACATTTTTTCTATGAAGAAAATGTAGATATTTCTAGCACATGAATTTAACATAAGTTTGCTTGCTATCATTGCAAATAGATAAATTTCGTCAGTGTCACTGAATTTCACAGTTTCTTAGTAGACTCATATTTGTAAGCATTTGCAGCTTGAAATATGGCTTTAAGATATCTGAAAGGGGAATGATATTCTAAGGCAGATTTCTTCTTGCTTTATTGCTTGCTTTCTGTCATTTAACGCTGCTGCCATTTTAAAAAGAAATGAATAAAAATATCACACAACATGGGCAGATAAAATTCGTAAGTACCCTTAAACATACCATTGCACCTTAACATTTCTTTTCATAAATGGTGTAATGACAGAATATTCTCAGAAATACAATTCTTACAGAAACATCAAACACAAAAAACATGTACAGGATAAGGTTAACACCAACTCTGTCAAAGACAAGATCCCAATGACCCTCAACAGAAAACAGAACCAAGTCACATTTAAATAAGAATGGCTGAAATGACAGTGCAATTCCACACCTGCCATGAATCTCACCCAATTATTTATGAACAAAAATGAATTTCCAACTGCAATTACGGTCCTTCTCCAAAAGAAATAATTCTTATGGACAATCTAAACTACTGGTGATAACTTTCAGTTTTCTGGATAGTGCAATGCCAATTCTTTTTCTATGCTATGAAATAATCTATGTAAAATTAAGTTGCACCTCATTCATGCTCTTGATATCCTTCTAACAAGAAGGGCATTCAAAGCAACATTTATGTTTTAAAGGAAGAGAGAAAATAGTGGAGCTAGAGACTTTTCACTGCTGGAGAGTGACTGCAGCACTTTGCATCCTACTGACAACGTGGTTTAAAACAAACAAATGTATGCAACTGAGTGAGAGAAAATTAAGATATGGAACACACATATTGAAACTTAAACACTATAATCAGGATTTTAATTAAATACCTCTCCTGGAGGTTTCAGTTAGGTTTAAGCACAGATGAAAGAATACATTAATGTCTTTTGTGTGGTATGGGTCTAGAAGATTGTTGGATTCAAATGACAATAGATAGGTCCACAAGCAAAGAATCGTTCCTTAATTTTACAGTTGTTAGGGTGTAAAAAACAAACAAGTTTTGAAATTTAAGAATAAATGCTTCAGAAATAAAACCAGATAGAGAACCAGTTAATCTTCACCCTTATTACACTTAATTTTAATCATGTATTATCTGTTTTTACATGGATAATAAATAGGATAATTGAACAAACAGTTGTATCATAATTTCTTGAAGGGTTCATGTGAGACAATACTTCATGCATACTCAATGGGCATTATTATCCTGATGTCCAGCAACTCTTCAGGAGGAATCAATTCTTTTCTGAAGAACTGCATTCCTTCTTAGAAGTGCAGAAGCAACAATATCACCACTACAAATTTTTTTTCTTTTTTTTTTCTTTTTTTTTTTTTTACCCCATCAGTAGAAAGAGACAATTGGAAAGGTTTTAAGCTAGCGCCTGCAAACCTTGTTAGAATCCCAGATATGTGGAAATTTAGAAGAGTTGATTCAACACCTGTGCTGGGACTCCTGCTCCTTGCAAGCTGTACTAATGCAATGCTGTTTTTCAGTGCTCTTGCTATTGTAAACACCTTTAGCAGATCCCTGCAAACCTGAACATACCAGATCAAGCTTGCATTTGTGCTAAACTGCCTAAATAAGTTTTTAATTGGAGCAGGCTTATACTCTTAATCTATACATTCCTATACCAATGGTCCAGTTCACTTGGGAGTATGGATCTAGATGTTCAGCAAATAACTTGTTTATATAACAGTACAGAGATGCTTTAAGTTGCAACTTAAATAAAAATCAGTTTATCTTCTTTGCCTTCATAACACAAAATATCTCCTTTAGAATAAAGTATCTGTTTTAGGAAAAGCATAATTATTCTCTGGACTCCACTCACTGACTCTAATGGGCACTTAGTCACCACAAAGCTTATAGACAGGAATCTTGATCTTAAATTTAAAACCACGCAATGGGATGTGCATCTTCCTATCTGAGAAAATAATTGACTTAAGAGAATTTTATTAGCCAGTAGAAAGTGATCATCTGCTGTTTAAATCTGAGAACATAAGACTATTGCAAAATTTCCTCTCACTTTTATGCTGAATCTTCAAGCTCTTCCAATGTTAACAAAGACAATATCAATTTGCAATTAACAAAGTAAAAGTAAAATATTTCTTCTTTTAAAACAGAACCATTATGTAAAACATAAAAAAATTAGCTTATGTGAGTGGAAAATAAGCTTTCTCTAAGAAAATGTTCAACATGGACTAAATAATCTCCCTCAAATTTTTATTTCCTGTGGTAAAATGTATTAATTTCCAGTTTGTTATAATCAAGGTCAACTTCCAGTTTTCAAACTGGCATAACATACTCACAGACACTTATTACATAGTAATTGATATACAAATATTGATGTGGTGGTGAAGCTTTCAGAAACCTTCAGTGTATTAAAGTGTACTCAGATCCTTAGTCATGGAGTATATCAATCTGATGCAATCACTAAACGTACAAGTTATCTACAAATTTATTATAGTCATTTTACTGATTAAATGGCTCCAGGATTTCAATTATTCATTACTTACCCCTGTTCTTTGAACTTCCAAGAAAATTGCTCTTTGAAATGATTTCTCCCATACTGCCAACTCGCTGCCCAGCTCTACATTGAAATAATGACTCTTGCCATGTCCAACCATAACACTGAAACAATATGGCCTCTGGTCTTCAAGATCAAAGTCCTGATGAATACCTAAATACAAGTTTGCTTGTAGCCAGCAATCATCAGCAAGCCAGAGCTGAAAGACATGTTTCAGTATGTGATTCTGACCGTTAACAAACGGTTAAAGCAATATTGTCTTCTGTAAGTGATGGGTACTTGGATACGTTATGTCATTATGCTAATAATTACCTTGAAGAAAAGTTCTGAGAATTAAGTAATAATTTAAAAGACAACTTCTCTCTTAGCTTCTTATTCACTTTACCCTGTATCATGTAATCTGAGGTACTTTTGTACTTCCAAAATACTCTCAATGTTACCTAAGCAACACACACATAATTTAAAAGGAGTTTGTAGCAATGTAATGTTTACAGTGAAAAGGAAGGATATCCCTGAATTGTTTGAACACTATTCAAGAGCTTTGTACCAGCTTTACAGGAGAATGTAACTACTCTGTTCTAATCGGATTCCAATAGACTAAACACCAAGGAATGCAGTAATTTATCAAGCACCCAAAGGCTAATTCTGGAAATGAAAATGTGAGCTTTCAAATTTCCCCTAATAGCTGCCAATGCTGCTCTACAACTACCAGAGGACGGAATTGAGGTCCTGCCATCACCTTCAAGACAAAGAAGAGAAACTTCACAGTAATCTTTCTAATAAAAAAATCCCTGTAACAGAATGTTTTGTAAATAAAAAATTCTTACAAGAAACTTCCCTAATCTTTCAAGACTTCACTGATTAGCATAAACAGAGAGAAAAAGAAAACTAAATAAAATGGTACTGATTGTGCATCTGAGTACTTTCACTGACTGAATTTCAAACTTACATGGGTTTTTTACATTTTTTTTAAATCAGATATGACCCTTTTCGATCTCCATTTCTCTATGATGGCACGAGTTAGAAAAGAGTGAAAGAATGTTAGTTCAAATTTTCTAAAATTATTTGCAAACAGAACTTTATTTCTCTAGCACTCCAGATTAGGTTGAAGAGACTGCACTCTAGTCAAGCAGGTATGAGGTAGAAGCAGTCAAGTTTGACTGGACTCAGGTGGCTTTGAAAAGACCAGAATGCAGCTTTGCAGTGGCAACGAAGTCCTAGAATCTTGTAGTCAGGATAAGCCTTATAAAGATTTAGAATTTATTTTTCCAGAACCTTTAATAGTCTATCATAGTCTGCTGAGACTATAGTTGAAATTCCATGCACATGAAAACAAACAAACAACTGAGGATCCAAATGTAATGTAAAATGTTTGGATACAAGTAAAATAAATACTTAAATATTCAGGGTCTTGTGTCCCTCCTGTTCTAGATGCACACACAACTGCCCTTGCAGGACAGCAGTGACGGTCCACTTTTATTAATGAAAAGCAGAGAAAACAAATGCTTTGTTTGCATGTGCTCCTCTGTGTACTGCTCTCATATTCATGAATCAGATCAAAATCCTCGGATGGGAACTGAAAATTTCGCTTGTGATGGTGAATTACTGAATAACATAAAGCTGGCAAATGTAACCTTATGCAATTTACCCAAGTCTAGTCTGTTAAGCTACAGATGTTTTGTAAGGCACCCCAGAAGCAGCACATAATGCCACCAGGTGACATAGCACTTTGTTGTCAAAAATGGCCATGCAGCTATCTGAGGAGAGAATAGTCTTGAGGAAGTTCTAAGTTATTTTACAATGTTCCTTTGGACTGATGAAAAGGAAGCTGAACGAAATACATGCATATTATCTGGTGGTCGGCAGCCATGGAATGACAGGTATTACATGTACATCTACTTCAAAACTCAATACTTCTCATCCTGGCTCATAGACTCCTATATCAATATTTTTTATTTTGTATGGGAAAATGTGATGAGTGAAAATACAAGGCAATAAAAGAAAATGTTTTTGAAGACATGTGGATTAAAAAAATGCATCTCATATTCTCACTCCTGAAAAATCAGGTTTTCTGTGACAGTTCCAGTAACTATGGAGTATGAGGCAAGGTTTAGGAAGAAACACATGAGATAAAAGAGATAACATTATCGATCATCTGGGTTTTACCACTCAATGTCCATGAATGTGCAAGTATGTGATATATAGATGAATTTAAATACATATACTCACATATGCATGTTTGTGTACACAAGTGTGTATTTATATGTATGTACGTACACTCACACACACGTCTAAAATATAGCATTTTTTTCTAAAATGCCATTTTCATATTGGATTCTAATTTTACATATTTAAGTCTTGTGTCATAATAAACACAGATGAGAAGCTTATAATTAGGTGAGCGACAAGTGCACCTCCCCTTAAAGTCTATATTTTGAAAGATACAATAGCACTCTCCACGATGGCGCTGCACTAGTTCTAACCAGCTTCTGAAAATCTTTAAGAACACTCTCCTCAAATGAGTTTACAACATCAAGTCAATCTTTCAGTCTGCAGAGTAGAAACTTTACTCTCTTGAGATTTTTTTCTCTCTCTGTGGATTTGCTCAGTTTGCCTCTGTGTCATTTATACCAAAGAATCAACAGAAAAGAGGTTAAAGTGTTGAATTTGAGCTTTTGCACTTTAGCTAATGTATTCATGAAGACTGGCAATTAAGCACTCATTTATTAAAATTTCAAGAACATTAAAGATTTGAGTCTTGGGTAGTTAGTTTCCCACTTCTTTTTCTTAATGAAAAAAGTCACAGAATTTGCTTCAAGGATAGATTTTCCTTGAAATTACCAGAATATTGAAGGAATGACTGCGTTTCAAACCAGTAGTAACATTTAAAGGAGAAAGAAACAAAACTCAAACCATAGTAAAAACTTTTGAAATTACATAACGAGTATATATTTAATTGTTGTCTGACTTATTTATCAGGAAAAAGTGAATTTTTAAAAGAAGATCAAGGAGATGAGTAAATAATGTGGGACAGAGCCTCTGCTCTTCTGCTGCTGTCTCAGTGATAGGTAGGACCTGAAGTTGCCCAGCTGGAGACACAGTCACATTGAAATAATGTCATGCCCACAAGAAAATGGCTGTGTTTCTGCAGCCTGTGCTCTGGAGCTGAGCGTAAGTCCCAGACTCCAGGATTGTTATTTTCCTGGTATGGCACTGCCTGAAACCCTTCCTTTTCCCCACTTTTGCTAGAGAAGGAAAACTTCCTCTCTGGCCCAGGGATGGCAGGCTTACAACAGAGAAAAAGTAGGACATGATGGGCTGCAAAACTGACAGCTGACATAAGCAGAAGTTCTTTTAGTGGCTGCTGAACTACCCAAGAATAAACTCTTTAATGTTCTTGACACCTTAATAAATGAATGGGACAGACACCTCTGTAAAATGCAGATGTCAGCTCATGTTTGAGAGCTATTTTTGTCTAGATTTCTGTCAAGTTCTGTGTGCTCCTTGCTCTGTTGGTTATAACTTCATCATGTTCTCAACTTATCTATTTTCTTTTTTTTAAAAATCAGAGTCAAGAAAATTGGTGTAGGAAACATGCCCATGTTGTTGAATGTCAGTTTGGGACAAGTAGTTTGAGCAGTCAGGATGTGGAAACTCCCAGCTATGGAGAACTCCCTTCTGTGCTGAAAAGCACAATAAATGGGAATGGAAATTTTCAGTGAAACAGCATTTTATCTGAAATAACTGATCTTTTGGTTTTTCTTTTTCCTGATAATATGTTTGTTTTTATTCTCTTAGGAAAGTAAGCTCTCACCTAGCCTTACCTCACCTGTAAAGTATTCTTTGATTAGTTGGTAGAGAACTAAATTAATCCATCAGGTGCAACGTCGAAGAAAATATCTTTTGTAAGTCAATTACTTAAACAGACTGCTAAGGTTTTGGCTAAAATCCTTGCTTGGGACAAGCTAAACAGAAAACCCGACACTGTCTCTAGCTGGTAGAAAAAAATGAAGAAGTCTATGGAACACAATAGCACGTTTCCATTTGTAAGGTAAAACCTACTAAAATATTTGCAAACTACACATGATTTCAAAAGGAAACAGTTTAATACTTCAAATTACTGAAATTAAATAGAAGTATCTTTATATAGATCAGGAATTGCAGCAAAAGCATTCTTCATCACATACACTTAAAAAGCTGAGCCACTAAGAAAAATGCGATACCCAACCTCAATTACGATTAGCTGTGTGTCTCAGCTGTATTTCATACAACCAGCTCTAATACTAAAAAACTCTTTCAATACGGAAGCATTTTAGTAACTTGCTCACTTGGAGCTTAATTAATTTTCCATATTCTCTTGTATAGCTAATGCACTAGCCATAACAATTTGTTTTTTAACAACAGAAACCGTTAGCTACTCCTAGTTAAGATTAACTTAAGCTTACATAAACAAAAAAAGGTGAGCTTTCTTTACTAAATAATATAATTGCTATCATTAGGAAACCTACCTTGTGAATTTTAAATAGAACCTCACAAAGGTTATAGATTTTTTCAGCTCGTATCCAGTCTAGTGTGCTTACCTATAATATTAAAAGAAAACATTAACAACACATTCTTTATCCTAAAATAATGTACAGATAAAAAAAAAAAGAAATATTTCACTCATCGTTATTCTACTGGATGCTTTAAATATTGGCACATTACTATGCTTAATATCCAGCATTTAGAAAAGATATTCAAACAGCATTCTATTCTTACAGAAACAGCATCTACAGCAGTTTTACTATAATTAAAAGGTATTAAATAATTTAATTGACTTTTTTCCCCATTATTACTACAATATGATAGAAACCTCTTTGTAATCTCTGTGGAGAGCTACAAAACATACTGATTTTCCTAAATGCTAACAGAGAGAATCCAGTGTCTCAAACTGAGAGTGATTTTGTTAAATATTTTTGTATTGGTTTAGCATTTTAATTTGATAGTAGTAATTGAATCAAATTTTAGTTCCTTGACTTGAAATATATACAAATAATTTTTTTGAGGGGGAAAAAACCCCAACTTTTCCCACAGGTGTTGTCTCATTTTAAAAAGAATACTGATGGCTATTTAAAAATGCTTGAAGTTAATAGGAATAATTTGATTTAGATTTTCAGTCTAGAGATATAAAAATGTTACTGATTGCTTCTCATCAAGATTCATAAGTTTTGAAGAGTATGTACTTCCCAAAGGTACTGCAGATGGTACACATGTAAAGGATCAGATTTTGTTTGGATCAGCTAAATAAATTGGGAGACTGACCACTGTCTGAGCAAAAACATAAGGAAGCAGTTTAATTGCAATTGTATTCTAATTCTACATTTTATTCTTTTGGATTTGTTTAAATTAAAGGCACTGGAGAAAAAAAGAAGGGATAAAACAAGACCATGTGTTAAATATAGGTCACTTTTAAAGAGTTTTGAATCCTAGAGCTCATTTTTGTTTCATTCTTTTAAACTAATTTTTATTAGTTTTTTAGAGAAATATTAGATAAGTCATCTGTTGTGAAACAGAATTCTCGGTATTAGCTATGTAAATTACCAAAGTAAGATGATGTCAGTTGTTCAAACTGCACAATTAGCATTGGATTCTTATTGTAACAGTTCAATCTCTTGCCTGTGTGCAAAATCCAAAAGTATCTACTAATAGTATGGCATATTTCATGATGTATCTTGTCTTTAAGAAAACAGAGGAACTATGAACTCATTACATCTACAAGATAAGAAATATTTGCCCTAACCAACTAGAGAAAAATCAGAACTTACAACTTTAAAAAGTAAAACAGTTACTCCCTGTTAGGAACTGCAGGTATGGTAAGATTTTCAGAGGACCATGAAAGAGGTTAAATATCTAAAGGTTATTGAACTTCAGTGGCATCTATGGCTTTAACTTCTTTTGAAATCTCAGCTGACCACTTCGCTTGTTAAGGAAAAACAAACTCAGACGTAACAAACAGATTTCCATTTACTATGAAACTGTCACTAAAATACTATTTTTTTACCGGTGGAGTGCTGAAAATGTAGAAGGATGAGCCCTTCAGTGCCAGAAACTTGAATTTGTAAAGCTGAGATGAATCAGTTCCTTCAAGTCTCTCATTTACCCATCCCATATGTATGACCTGTAAAAGAAACCAATTGAAAGTTAGAGCTCCATTTTTCAGGGGAGCATAAGATATATCTGAATATGTCAAGTCTTTCCACAAGGAAGAGCCATCATGTTAGTATAAGATGCATCATTCTCTTCTTCATATTTGCCTTACCGCCACTACCATACTCTTGAAGTGTATGATATCATGCCAGTGAAGAAATTTCTAGATTTACCCAAAATCAAACAGCTTTTTGTATGCTCATGTTTGCCTCTGTTAATAAAGTGTCTTCATTACACTGATTGTCTTTCAGATTTTATATACTTTATAATATTCACTTTATCTCATGACAATTTATGTTCTCATAGAATCAAACGTTAAATTCAGTTGTTACACAACTTTTCTCTAACAGTATTACAATGCATGTCTTTATATTTCAGATAAACTAATTTTAAGAAAAAATAAAATTAAGTAAGACTGCATACTTCCTTTCTGAGGTAAATGCAAATGTATAAAGGAATAATGCCATAGTGTGGTAGTAGAATATAATGAATGCAGTTTCCCACCAAAATAACAAATGTAAACATTTTAGGCTTCATTGTGCATACATTAAGAGGAACACACTGCCCTTGAAACAGGTTATTGACTCTAGAGTGATCCACCAGTTTCAATATACAGCTATTGCTGATAAGCTTGCTCTTTTTCAATTAATGCTACACTTCTGGAAAATATTGAATTCATAGTCATACTAAGCCCACAGAGCTTTGCAGAAGTCAGTGGAAACAGCTTGAAAATGGCATTCATTAAATTGCATGAAAACTTCAACATTTGTTCCATGGATGGATTTGGGAAAAATGGGATGATCTCAGGGATCCTTTCCTATTGAAAGCCCATTGTGCATACTTGTGGTTATTACCAACAGAGCACAAAGGTGGAAAGAATGGACAGGGAGTAGCTAATATTATAGATGAATGCTTATACTCTTGCACCATGAAAATCTCACACATTGATTTATAATTTTGTTAGTAAATGTGTCAATTATGTCTCTTACTGATCAACTTATTCAGAAATAAATAAAAAACCAGTATTACTGAGCTCCAACATTAATATTTAAAGGAGATCTAAGGAATGGCACAATAAACACAGGAGTCTTTCCAATTCTCACTTTGCTATTGTGTAAACTTACTAACTCACCAAAACATTGTTTCTTTAGTAGTCAGCAAAGGTTTAGAAACAAGATATTCAGACACTTCATTACTTAAACAAAATATAATATAGTATTTTTGTTAATCTACTACAAACTAGATTATATATTGAGTTTATCACAATGATAATATAACATCAAATAATACAGACAAACAGAATAATGTCTAAACCAAAGGTCATAAAAATTATTATATTCTCCTTTACATTCATAAAGCCATGTTTGCTGACTTATATATGTTGTTACAAACTGAAGATGTTTATTTAATATATTAAAGGAAGGAAACATGAAGTCCTTAGATGAAACTCAGGGCGGGATGGTATCAGAAGACTGAAATTTCACTTTTCAAGACTGTGTTTTCACTTCAAAATACAGATGTGTTTTCCTGTGACTAACAGGAAAAACTTGATTTATCTAGCTGACAGAAACCATAGGTTGGCCTGTAAGCACTGATCCTAAGTACCAATGGTAGTGCAAGATACAATCATACTTTCTTTGAATAAAATTCTAAATTTAGAAAAACGGTACTGAATTTCTCTAACTGAAGTCAAATGACATTTATTTTTCATCAAAGCCTAAACAAAACCAAACAGCACTACTTCAGTTACATTTTGAATACATTGCACTGAATATTACACTGCTTGATTGAAATGACTAACAAAAAACCCAGTTCTGGGAAAAAAGCACTTCAATCAGAAAAAAACCACAAATATCAAAGCACAAGATCAAACCCACAAGACCATCAAAGCAAAGATAATATCTTACAACCCTTAATAAATATAAAAATACCCTTTTGCTTCTAAATTTTATTATAATTTCCAGGAGATTTCAGAAACTGATTAAAAGTTTATAAATTTTCAATTTTGTTAAAACCATTATTTAGCTTTGCATTGTCAAGAAATTTCTGGAACAAGGAAACAATTACATACCTCACTGTAGAAATACAAGAAAATGGTCTAATTATTTATGTGTTACAAAAGAAATTTAAAAATTATTTGGGAAAACTAGCTGCTATATAAGAGTTCAATGTCATTAAAAAAAAAAAAAAAGTAAAAACCCTTCCAAAAGTCTTTTAATTCCCAAGATTACGACTTGTGTATTAGCACCATGAAACACCTAAATATTAAAAGTGCTAGTAAACAAATGTTGCAGGATTTCCTGAACTTTCTAAAAGACATCTATGAAATGAATGCCTCCATCAGCTTGTTCCATTTTTTAAATGAAGATGTGAAAAAATTCAACAAGCAGGACATGTGTAGATCAATTTAAAATTTGACTAAGAGTATCTCCACAGAATACTGGCTGAAGTCTCAGCACAAATATACATTTAGGAAGAGAAATATAGTACAGCTATAAATATATTTAGAGAAAAGGCAAGGGTTGAGTTCATTTACATATGGATTGCTCCACCAGATATGAAAGGCTGAATAAAATACTTTCTTGCAGAAGCAAAAGTTAGGCTAGGTAGCTGAAGAAAGATTGCTACTGAAGGATAAGTGGTGACTTAAGTGGGTTTAGAGCTGCATTACTCTCATTTGCATGGGTTAGGAGTAACAGGACAGAAAGCTAAAAAGTAAGTACTAATGAATATAAAAGAGAACGAGAAAAAGACAAAGCAAAAGACACTTAGGAGGAAAAAGTTCAATTTATTAAGAGAAAAAATAAAGAAACAGGAGAAAATATGAAATTAAAATGAAAAAAACAAAAGGAAGGACATAATATAAGTATATAAAGAGCGGAAAATAAATGAAAAATATTTGGGAGGAAAAAAATTAAGGAAAAGGGTATGCCAAATGTATACATGCCTAGAAAGTCCTTAAAAAAGTGAAGGAGGATTCATTATCAGAAACAATGTTTAAATTATGCATATATTGAAAAATAACAAAATTATGCACCTTTTTTAGAGCTATTAAAAAATCTAATGTATTTTACACTTTCTTTCCACAGATCTTTCTTATTGACTGGTTTATTTAATGGTCATTTAGATCACAGAAATGTAGAAAGAATAATTATTCCATTCAAAAAAAATCTGTATGGAGCAAAAACAACCAAGTGATGGAATTCAATAACAAGCTGTTTGTGTTTCGTAATTAGTTTAATTGGATCTCAGTACATAGGTGAGAATATAAACAAAAACTGTTCTGTTATTTGAATTGAAACCTGCCATTTGAAATTTTAAGGAGTGTGCAAAGGCACACTGCAAACAGTCCCATTCTCAACATTACTTTCACCACTTTATTCCCAAACGGCATAATCAATTTCAGACTGCTATTTGAAACTGCATGGAAAATTGCCCACACATTATCAATATATTATTAAATTTCTAACATGTTCTATTACACTTTACAAAAGTTCCTGCAGGAACAAAATGAGCAATGGCACTCATTATGAGGAGATAAAACACGTCATTAACAATATGTAATCCAATCATTGCAGATAAATGAAAGTTCTTATTTGCACTTATTGTTTTCCTACAGCATTAAAGCATCTAGATGCTGCAATGACTGGAAACTTAACATGTGTTACACTGAATAAAGCAATCAGTACATTTTGTAGATAGTAGTACTTTAGTTAAATAGTTATGAAAAGTAAATGGCGCAAAACACTCCAGAGGGAAATGAAGAAAGAAAATCAAGTAGATTGCTGATGTATGAAATGTCAGAACAGATGGATACACTTAGGTAAACAAAGTGGGATAAGAATCTACAATGGATGCCAGGCTGGCTTGCAAGTTAAGAACCAGTGTCATACCATGAAACACAGTATAACAATACAAAATTAAGAAAGTAAAGAGAACTACATCTTGAGTTAGCTTAAGTCTTTTTTTTCAGTCTTTTCAAAGCAAGTGGTAGAATGCATGTTTTGAAAAGTACAGATATTGTGTGGAGGGTAAAGCAGTCCTGTCACATATATAATGATTAACTAAAAAAAAATAAAAATTACAATGCTAAAAGTTTTGATGCATTACATTAATGGTTTTCATTATACATCAATTGCATTCAGTTATGTCCAAATGGCTACTACTCAAAATGTGTCTTAGAGATCAAACTATGGAGAAAGTTAGAAATTATGACACTTAAGTGTTTTATGTGCTTTGGCTCAAAAATAAAATGCATAAATCCAAGCTGGTCACAGTTTGAACACCACAAATAGCAACATGTCTGTATTAACCCAAAGTGAACTATGAAAACAGGTTTGTATCTGAATTGGTGTATCTTCCCAGCAATCGGCTGGAAAATCTAAAATCTATATCTAAAATTTGAATTATGAGTCCTTTTGGGTAGTGATAATAATGTCTTCTCCTTGTTTCTTTGTTTTAACAAGAAAGCTGGAAAAATGTGAGCTGATATCACTCACCTTTTCTCATAATAGCCTTCTTTTACAGTCAGAATCCAAACCAAAAAAATCACTTTTGAAGATATGTACCAGTAAATTGCATTTTTGGTTATGCATTCTTATACTATATTAAATTAGTAGCATTGTTTGTGCAGCAGGAACTAACCAAACTAAATAAAAGTGGAAAACTCAGGTACTTCACATTTTTTCTGTCATATATGTCTATTTTATGTTTTAGCAATATTCAAAAACAATAAAGTACACCTAACAAGCTGTTCTCCTTCTCATCAAATAAAGACTCAAACTGTATCTTCAGCAGTTAGGGAAAATAAAAAAAGAAAACCTTCCAAATTATAGCTGTTTGCTATAGCTGTTGCAAAAGAGTTCTCAAAGAAGAAAATTCAGTCCGAGCTTCCTTCCACATGTTAACCCACAATCAATAAAATGATAATTCTACTTAAAAATGTGTTGACATAATTAATTGGAGAATAAA